GACTATATGATGATCTGTTATTTTATAATAAAATAATTATAAAAATTAAAATTAAAATTTTTTCAAAATTCATCCAATCACTTTTAACAATATTTATACTGACTACATGAAGAAAAGTTATTTTGTATAATAATATAGTACAATATAACATTAAAATAAAATGTTATTAGTTCGTTGCGTTATTAACAACAATAATATATGATTGATGCTTCTGGTAACAGCTGCTTTAGACCTTAAGTAATATAAGCTTTGTATATATATGTAACTAATGACTAAGTCTAACTACCTAAACGGTTCAAAAACTTTATCTTTGCATGAAATACATGCTAAAAATTCAATAAACATTAGTAATAATATGAAATTGTTAATATGTTATTAAAAAAACTGGTATTGTAATATTAATCATAATGTTCTTAAAAAGTTTATTATATTATGATAATATATATGTAAGTATAAGTACTTCTATATTATATATCTTACTATAATCTTACCTTGTACATAACGTTTGACAAATCTGTAGAAAACAATAAAAAAATATATTATTATATAATATATTCCGTGTTTGTAAAATATATAAATTTTAGATAAGTAAAATATAGTCTTTTGTGCTAAATAAAATTTAATTTAAATTGCCATCCAGCTAAAGATAGACAAAATAAATTAAGGAATTTCGAATAAGACAAAAGAAAGCAAAACTTGAAGAAAACCAAAATTCTTTGCAGAACTGTCGCAATGCTGACAACTCCCAGATATTTTCAATTTAAACTCATTTAACTTAAATTTATTTTATTTTGGTCAAAATACTATTATAACGAATCGAATTTATTTATTCAGCATCAATTTCACTTTCATTCCTACAAAAATGCGCACAAGTTCAAGATTCTGAGATAAATTCAAGCGCATTCGTTTCAGTGCGTCATTATAGATAAAAATAGACAAAGAGCAGAACGACTATAAAATAAACAAAAAGGAAAAGTAGTTCAGTATTTAGTTTGCTGGGGATCCTGTGTACGAGTACGTCTACTGAGGATGAGGGCTGCCTGTCGTTAACACAACGAACTGTTTAGGTGCGTTGCTCTTGGCGCTGCGTAATCGTTAGACTATTTTTGGTTTCGATACATTCGCCTGCGTATATTTTTTAAAGTGATTTGTTGTTGAGAGAATTTCTTAAAACTGTTTTTAAAATCTTTTGTCAGCATTTAGCACAACACTGAAAAAAATGTTTAA